GTAACATTCATCAAGGGCTTTCGACAGATTTCTGGTGCTTTTTACATGGAAAGATAATGACAAACCGACGCCAGATTCTACCATATAAGGTGGAAGCTTCCGAATATTTTATTTGAACTGGCTTGGTTGTCCTTCGCAGTTGATGAGGTACCTGAGAATGTCCATAGACCACTCTGGTTACCTTTCTACACTGCTACTGAGAAGGCGAAGTGGTAGGGCCAGAGGATTCCCCTGATATCAGAGTAGCTACAAGTCCACAAGTGTGGGCGCATTCTCCACTTGCTTTCCGCAGTTCTCCAGCCGTACGGCAGTGTTTCAGTTGATCGAGCCGAGAAGCCGAGGGAGTAATACAGACTTATTTGGATCGGGCTGCTTTAAATTGGGTAGTGAAGCATTAGCCGGTTACTGACTTTCCGGGGGGGATGGAAGATGTTTTTATAGAGCGTATCTACCTTTGCGATTCACCCGACGATCCGCCAGTTCGGTTATATCAGCTTTATGTTTGGAACGAGCGCGCGCCAGCAGCTTCGGGCTCAAAAGGTCTGGTGGATGGTCTTCCGTGCATAGGTTGTGGAGCCGGACTGGCTGCACTGTGCTAGGTTCAGTCTCCCAGGTAACTGAGCGGCATTGAACCTCACTGTTCTTGAGCTGCAAGTGTATTGCTAAGCAGGCTAATAAGGACTGTCCTACGTGAAAGCACTTATGAAGAGTTGGTGGCCGAAAAGCCTCTCAGTTATTACTCGTGCGAATGCTCGGGATGGTGCTCAGTCAAGCAGGCTCAGGCAAGACCCGCCAACTTGAGCAGAAGGTCAACAGGGCCTTTAGTTCTGCTGGAAGGCTTCAGGCGAGATGCCCGAGATTACGAGGCAGATTTGGAGCAGGTTTATCACGCTATTTTTCTTTTTTTTTTCTGCATTTTCAAAATGCCTATCCTGACCACTATTGATAATTATCAGGACAGAATGACCAACAATCGAAGGACCGAATCCGTTCTTTTACGTCCGGGCAAAACTTCGATTTGCTGTCCGTGCTGAAGGACACGCGGAAAAGATTGAGCCTACAAGTCGCATGCAGGTCCGAGCATCTTGACGATTGATCTGGCCTGCCGATGATCCTGTCTAGGTGGCCGAGGTTAAGATCTATTCTATAGATATTCCTTGATCGTTAGAATTTCGGCCTCATGCTTCCCCATCCTATGCAGGATATCTGTGCAGGAAGGCGAGATGAGTTCCCGATTCGATCGTGCATCTCCTGCAGATGCCTGACTCACTGCACCAGGTAAACAGCCTGCAAAGACGCGCTCATAAGATTCGGACAGTCAAATGAAAGGACCATTCGATGAACCCAGGTAATCTTCAAGAGGTATTTGTCTTTATTGGCCATATTGTCCTTCCTCTCCCTCATACTATATCTTTTATGTTCAGATTTTTTGATGATGACTTTCGATGGGAGGGCCTGCTGTGGACACTCTAATGGGGACTAGCCTGTCATGTATAGTCTCGCCGTAGACTGCCCGGAATCGGAGGTGAGGGCCCGTCAGCGTGAGGTGTGCGATGTGCATGGGTCGGGAATCCTAACTGCGCCTGCCGACTCACCAGAAACGGTTATTTTGATGTAGCGTGCCTCCTCAAACTCATATAACGGACTGCCAATTCTTTTGACTAATCAACTATGATGTTCTATTTTGTGCGCTAACAGCAGCTTTCGCTGACGACTGGCATGACCCTGTTGAGCGGTGTGCCGAGCCTAACTCCACTAAGTCGATTCGCTAAAACAGTCTTAATCTCCACTACCCAGTTTTGGACCTCGAGGGAAGGAAGGTTAATTTTAATTAACTGAGTAATGCCATTCATATTCCTTCATTAAGCTCTTTTGACGAATTTCTTCTTCTTTGTGGTATGGCTTCCTTCTCAGCTTCACGTCCTCCGCGTTAAGGAGTTGTTATCACGGGAATGACCGCTAGAAAGATCATCATCAGCGTAGAGAGCCGCCTTATTTCCTCCTTCTAAATCGCTATAATTGGCAAAACTTCGCTCTCCACGAGCAAACTATCTCTTCGCCAGTTTAAAGCCTATCACTGATTCGGAAGATAAATTTAATAAGAACATGAGGATAGTCCGGATCTGGCGACGGCTATGGTTGAGACCTGATGTCGCTTAGCAGCGTGAGCTCAGATGTTTCATGAGTGCTCCGGGATGCAGGTCGCTTCTTCATCCAATTCGTCCTGCCATGCGGTTGATGCTCGCTAAGAACATGGCGCAGTATCGAATGTTGCCAGCTCGAGATTCAGGGTGCAGGTCCGGGGCGATCGACGCGTGGGCCGAAGTAGATCGATTGAGACGTGACCTTGGCCACTAATCATGCTTCACTTGGAGGAACTTGATTCTCAGATAGATCAGCCCGATGAGAACGTCCGTGAGAAGGAAGAACGAAGATATGCAAAATAGCAAGCACATGCTGGCTTTACTGATGACTGAAGTCCCTGAATAGACACTGGCTTAAGACAAGAGGAGGTTTGCTTGTGAGAACTTTAGCCGCGAAGCGGAAGAGTCTATCAAGGCTAAGTTGCAGGAGGAGCTTAGGCGAGCTTATATGAAAGCTGTCTGAGTTTTAGCTCAGCACGTTTTTTAGCCATGGGTTGATGTGATGATTTATTTGCTGAACAACTTTGACATTGATTCTCTTCAATGGAATGGTCTTTGAATATTTTATGATTCGTCTCTTGTATTCCATTTGAAATGATCTGACACGTCGCCTCGTTGGTTCGTCGGTTTATGCCGAACTGTGCTAAGGAACCTATAAGCAATTTCATATGCCTAAAACATACTATCGTCATCTTTTTTGAATGAGAATGAATCAAGACTGTTTATTAGCATATCTCTGGCTGGTCAAAAAGAGATGATTGATGCATTTCTCAATAATGAGGGTTAAAGACCAATAAAACATGGGTTCACGTGCTATTTTGTGATTCTCACTTCTAACATACTTGTTAAATCCACTTACTTTTGGTGAAAGACTAGTATTGCTTAATTTAGGAAACTATTCTTAGGGATGTTATTTTTTGTGTTTGTGGAACATTATGATGATGGAACATATTATTGTAATATATAGTAAGTATTTATATGCCTCCACATTTAGTTGTGATTCCACGTTTAGCGTACAGTTTCATATGAATATTAACTTTCACCAATATCTTTATTTTTCTTACTCATATTTTTTCCTAGTTAGAATTTGGTATGCAAACATTATATTTTATAGATGTATATGGACTGGTATATTTACTTGGTGGTTGGATGTTGAATCTGATAATATTTATTTGGATCAATAAATTTTCTACTGGTATTGCCCATGGTTTTGAAGCGCTCATGGTTTTAAAAGCTAACTGGTTTTGTTTCTTGTAGTTGAGTCAACTACTCAGTCTCCATTACGTAATGTTTGGTATTTTCAGGTTTGATACGATTTTCCATGTCCTATATATATTTATGATTAATCAAGTTGTTTATAGGTTTTTCACAAGTTTCATAAGAATTTTTCGTTAATTCAGGTACGTATTTCATAAAATTATGAATAACCAGGTTATTACAGATTTTGTTTGTTTTTTCATCTCAATCAAGTTTTGTGTAATTTTTCTATGTCAAACAGGTACATTTCATGTCAAATCAGGCACGTAGTTCATAACAATTAATCATGTTATTCCAGGTTTTGTATGATTTTTTATGTCAAACAGATATTTATAATGAATTTGTTTATTTACTATTTGTTCATGTTACATTCGTACTTTTATTTTGGTAAGATTACCTTCCATAACGATCACAAATAAATTTGTCTTTAGTGGGGATAAACTTACCATGGTGACCGTATACCTTTAATATCAACCAAACACAAGAAAAGTGGAAATGTCTAATCAACAAAAGTTTTTCTTTTTTTTTCATACCTACCAAATTTAAGAAAAGTGCATACATTAATTTCTCATCATTTTTTGTGTGAACCAAACCTAAACAATCTATTTCTTGGAATAGTTTAGAAAACCCAAAACTTTGATTTCTTTACATAGAATTGTATTTCCCATTACATGGGAAATGAACCAAACAACCCTTTAGTAAAGAAACATGCTATCTGCGCGTATACGAAAAGAAGATTTATAGCCTAAAATCTAAGTGTCTTGCGTATAGGAAAAGAAGCTTCATAGCCTAAAATGTTAGTGTCTGCACAAGAGGATGCAGTGCTCGTAATAACTACCACCAATATCTATGTTATTATCCTCTTGCTTATTTTTCCATGGGTAACATGCATTTGTATACAAATGGATGTGAATGAGGCTTTTCTTCACCCACTCATATCAGTATCAACATAGTCAACATAATGCGTTGAAAACTGAGAAATCCATTTTGAAGGATTGACTTATTAGCTAGCAGCTTAAGTAAGAGGCATTTATCTTGTGCCTTTTGCTAAAGGCCTGTTTGGTTCAATAGAGGCTAGGAATAGGATTAGGAATCCTATTTTATTTATGGATTCCAACCTAATCCATATAAAATTTATAGACAAGTTTTAGTTTTATGGAATCCTATTTTTTTGCATACTATGTTTGTTTCACCCAAAGGATTAGGAATCTCACTTTTATAGAATTGGTCCAATTCCTAATACCATGTTTGGTTCAGAAAGAATTGGGAGAGGTGTCAGAAATCGGAATAAGAATAGGAATAAGAATTGGGAGAGGTGTCAGAAATCACGCCCAATTCCTCTCAAAAAGAACGGATTTGGGTTTCCTGAAATTACCACTGTTTGAGCCACTTTATAGAATAGCAATTCTATAAATTTTTTTTGAACCAAACTCATGATTAGGATTCAGTTGGATTCCATTAATTACGAAAACGCCACTGTCAGGTCCAAATACCATTCCTATTCCATAAACTTGGTGAAACAAACATGCCCTAAGAGCATGAGTCTGATTTTGGGAAATTTCTGACAAATGTAATTCATCTGGGAAGCAATGTTATTTATTTACTAAAATCTATTTTCATATAAAAACTTGAGGAATTACAGCTACCATACCACATGGAACAGAATAGAGATAAACTGAATATTGCAACTGCCTTCTGAATTCGATCATTCGAACTCATGATTCATCTACTAAATCTGCTCATATATAATGACGCAGCATCTTAAAATATTTGGAATATAAATTCCATAATAGGAAAGTAATGCATACAGCCTTTTGGTGCTGACATCTCTTCATTTGCATGGAGGCAGCGGTGTTCCGCAAAGGCAAGTGTTATTCTGGTACGCCTGAGGACCGAAATCTCTGAACTTACCTCCGCTTGGAATCTTTCCACACAAATGGTTGTTGCTCACATCCAAGTAAACAAGATTAGTCAAGTGAGTAATTTTATCTGATATGGCCCCAAAAATCTTATTGTGACTAATATCCAAATACGTCAAGTTCACAGGAAAATCCTCTATCTTCGACATGTTAAACACCATCTCATTGCTGTTCAAGCCTATCTGAGTAACTGGCTTTGAGTTGCCGAAGAGGACCCAAGCCGAGCTCCCAGTGAGGTTGTTATTCGACAAGTCGAAGTTAGTGAATCTGACTTTATTAAATGACAACGGTAAGTCTCCAGTCAGCATGTTGTTCGACAAATCGAGGTCCGGGGTAATCGAGCTCACAGCCCTGGAGAAGAGAGATGCCGGGATGGTCCCTGTTAGTCTGTTGCCCGACAAATCGAGCGTAAAGAGGTTGGGGATGTCACCGATAGAGGCAGGGATCGAGCCCGTGATGTTGTTGTTTAAAAGATTGATCTCTTTGAGCTGAGGCATTTTGGAGAAGATGTTGGGGATTGGGCCGGAGACTTTGGTTTCATAAATGGTAAGGAATTGAAGTTTCCTGAGGTTGGAGATTTGGGGAGGGATGGGGCCGACGAGGTTAGGAAGGCGACGGAGGGCGATGCTTTCGAGATAAGGAAGGCTGCCGATGGATGGGGGGATCGCGCCGGTGAGGTTCTTGTTCTTGAAGATGGAGAGGAGCCTGACGCGGCCAGTGCGCTTGCTGCATCGGACGCCTTGCCAGAAGCAGCAATCGGAGGCTGAGGTCCAAGACGGGAGTGAGTTTGGGGGGAAGGAGTCTCTGAAGGCGAGGAGGGCTCTTCTGTCTTGGACGTTACAGGCTGAGGATGAGGTGCGAAAGGAGAAGAGCATCAAGGCGGCGAGGGCGAGAATACAACGAGCCATCTGGGATGTTTTTTGTTGTTGTGTCCGAGGGGAATTGGAGGTGTCGGCGACGTTTATATGGGTGTTAATGGTTGACTGTGAGTGGAGCGGTCGTAATTGATGGCTTGATAGCCAACTTGGAGGGGGACCAGTGGGGTGCAAATGTCGAAGCATGTGCCCCTGGTATTAAAGTTCAATCTGTGTTCGGTATACTCCCTGCTCAAGGACCCCGAGTTCTTAGACATATCAACTAGAGTGTTGAGGCTACTCTGCATGCGGACGAGCTGCACGTACGATTGGACTCAGCAGAACTAGCTCCCATTATGCACTGCAGGAGCGCGAGAACGGACCGCTCTACTAGTTATATGTGGACGGAGGAAACTCTGGTTTTCAATATGTTTTTCTGATGATGGTGATCTTGGGTGTTTTTGAGTTCCTTCATTTTGTGCGTCCAAGGGCAGCCCATTGGACGATTGCGGATTTAACGTATGCAGTAGAAGAACACAAATTGTTGCACGATTACTCTAAACGCCAAGAGCTCGTCAAATTGTTGTGATAAACAGTATTCAACATGAATGCAGCCTACATATACTCTAAACGCCAAGAGCTCGTCAAATTGTTGTGATAAACAGTATTCAACATGAATGCAGCCTACATATAACTCTGATATTATGAACCAAAACGAATCTCATTTGTTAGGACCTAAGCCTTAATAAGGTGATAATTTTGTTCATTGGTAAATATAGACTATACCTTTACATTACTTTTTCACTCATTTATAGCGGATGTCTTTTCAACTAGTTCCTTTCTCATGCCCTTGGCAAAATGGAACTGAAATGTTCTCTGATTACCCTACCCCCTCCCACCGTCCTCTTTGGAAACCTACCCCAATCCCGTTTGACAAAGGTTCAAATTAAGAAGAAGGATTAAACAAGTTGACTCTGTTGTTATCGCAAAAGATTTAATTAATTGATTCTTTAGGTAGGATTTACTTAAAAAAAAAAATCTTCTGTTAGGATTTATTTTAGGGTTTTTTTCTTCTAATCCAATGTTTTGCCCCAATTTATTTAAAAACCCACCAACTTTTATGAATACTTATAAACCCAATGTACCCCAAACCATTTATTTTTAAACCCAATCTGTACAATACCCTCAATCCTTATACTATATTTCCCTAATAAATACAAATTTCCAAAATTAACCTTCTTCCCCAAGCAAACCTATCTCTCTCCTTTTTTTCCCTTCATTCGTTTCATAAAATCAAAATCTAGGAGCGACCAGCATGAATTCTTTCAGACTTACATCCCCCCACTCCTTAGACTCTCTCCTCCCGGCGCAAAATACCCTTCGACTTTATCATGCATCGAGGCGGAGCTCCGGCAATGGCGGCGAAAGGGGGGTATGTGGTAATGGGCTAGTCTTTATCATGTGCCCGGTCAAGTGATGAGCACAAATTCTTCAGAGCTGTTCAAGCTGGAGACTTGGAGACAGTGATGTCCTTTCTCTCCACTAGGCCCCAAATGCTTCGGCAAACCACCGTCTTCGACCACCTCTTTGCCAAAATATAGCTCTTTATGATCATAGTTAAGCTCTTTACTGACATAGTGTAGTTCTTTATGGTCTCTGAAAATTCTAAAACTTAGTGGAATAAATCAAATCAGTTTTTTCTGAGCAATGTAAACGTGTGATGATATATACAATGTGTTGTTTGATCAATTATTCATGTCGACGAGAGGTCTACTCTTAATTTTTTAGTTTTTTAAAAATATAGCTCTTTGTACTAAAGTGTAGCATATTATCATAAAGTATAGCTCTTTATGCCAAATTATAGCTCTTTATGATAGTAGTATAGCTTTTTACTGATAAAGTATAGCTCTTTACGGTCTTTGAAAATTTTGAAACTTAGTGGAATATATCAAATCAGCTCTTTTTTGAACAGTGAAAACGTGTGATGATCAGTATGATGTATTGCTTGATAAATTATTCATGTCGACGAAAGGTTCACTCTCGGTTTCCAGTTTTTGTGAAAGGTATAGCTTTTTATAGTAAAGTGTAGCACTTTCCAATGAAAGTGTAGCTCTTTATGGAAAAGTTTAGCTCTTTAAGACCATAACATAGCTCTTTATTTCTAAAGTATAGCTCTTTATGGTATCTGAAAATTCTAAAACTTAGTGGAATATCTCAAATCAGTTTTTTCTGAGTAATGTAAACATATGATAATTTGTATAATGTGTTGCTTGATCAGTTATTTACGTCAACGAGAGGTCTACTCTCAATATTCTAGTTTTTGGTAAAGTGTAGCTCTTTATAGTTAAGTGTAGCACCTTATTATCAAAGTGCAACTCTTTATGGCGAAGTATAGCTCTTTATAACCATACTATAGCTCTTTGTTGCTAAAGTATAGCTCTTTATGGTATCTGAAAATTCTTAAACTTAGTGGAATATCTCAAATTAGTTTTTTTCTAAGCAATGTAAACGTGTGATGATGTGTACGATATATTGCTTGATCAATTATTCATGTCGACGAAAGGTCCACTCACTTTTTCTCTTTTTGTGAAAAGTATAGCTCTTTATAGCAAAGTGTAGCACCTTATTATTTAAATGCAGCTCTTTATGGCGAAGTATAGCTCTTTATGACCATAGCATATCTCTTTATTGTTAAAGTATAGCTCTTTATGGTATCTAAAAATTCTCAAATTTTGTGAAATATATCAAATCAGTTCTTTTCTGGGCAATATAAATGTGTGATGATTTGTACAATGTGTTGCTTGATCAATTATTCATGTTGACAAGAGGTTCACTCTCAGTTTTTTAGTTTTTGTGAAAAGTATAGCTCTTTATAGTAAAGTGTAGCACCTTATCATGAAAGTATAGCTCTTTATGGTAAAGTATAACTCTTTATGACTATAGCGTAGGTCTTTATTAATAAATTATAGCTCTTTATGATATCTGAAAATTCTAAAACTTAGTGGATATTGCATTAAGAAAGTAATTATAGAACTCTAGTAAAATCACCATTGCACCGACCTCCATCATTACCAATGTCTACAAAATCACCACAATTATCAACATCTATCTAATACACCAAGCATAGAACCAAAAAGTTCCCAAGTACATCTCGTGAACAACCTTAAAGGATACAATATTTACAAAAATTCTCAAATTTCATTTCATGGAAAAAAAAATTGCAAAAAAGGAAAGACAGAAATTATAAAAAATTACTCAAAATTCTTTTTAACCAAAGTTTGAGAACTTATAGCTGAGAAATTAGTAGTCATGGTTTATGAACATGCTTCCGACGAAGGGGGATCGGTGTTTCCGAGAGTTTTTGGGCGCATTCGAAGTTTGCTTAGCTCCAGTGGAAATCACCGACAGTCGACAAAAGGGACAAGAGGTGATCAACGAGAGCAACGTGTGTTACAGTTTCTAGAACGTGCGAGGGTCACTAGATGCGATAATCTCGAATTCCACAAAGGAGGTCCACTTGTCATCGACGAACTCGGAGGCAGTCGACAAGGGATTTGGAGGTGATATGAGAAAGAATAGTTGATTTCACTCATAAGAGAATATATCGACGTTTTCTCCTGGAATTACGAGGACATGCCAGGACTTGATCCAAATGTAGTGACACATCGCCTCAACATCAAACCGGATGTCAAACCTATCAAGCAACAGTAGAGACGATTTCGTCCGCAGATCATGGAGGCGATTGAGGCGGAAGTCAAAAAATTAATCGATTCGGGCTTCATCAGGAAGGAACAACATCCTGATTGGCAAGAAAATATTATCCCGGTCCTTAAAAAGAATGGGAAAATCAGGATCTGCATTGACTTCAAAGACCTAAACACCGCTTGTTCAGAGGATGATTTTCCTCTTCTGATCACGGATGTCATCATTGACAACACATGCGGATTCGAGAGGATGTCCTTTATGGATGGATTTTCAGGTTACAATCAAATCAAAATATACCCGAACGACGAAAAGTATACCGCAGTTAGAACATCGCTCGGTATCTTCTGTTACATAGTCATGCCCTTTGACTTGAAGAACGCGGGTGCTACATACCAACGAGCAATGACGAATATTTTCTAGGAACACCTACGGAAGACCGCCGAGTACTATGTTAATGACTTGGTCATGAAAAGCCATAGAAAAAATGACCAATTGAAGACGATGTTTGATCTCATGCAGAGTTACCAATTGAAGATGAACCCTACCAAGTTCTTCTTGGGAATGTCCAGCGGTAAATTCCTTAGATTTGTCATCGCCACAAGAGGTATACATATTGATCCTGATAAAGTGAAGGCGATACACGAACTGCAACCCCCAAAGAACCTCAAAGAGCTCAGGGGATTGCAAGGACTATTAGCTTATATCCGTCGGTTCATCTCTAACCTCTTTGAAAAATGCCAATCATTCTCCAAGCTCAGAAAGAAGGGCATATCATTTATTTGGGATGATGCTTGTCAGAAAATATTTGAAGATATCAAAACATACCAGATGAGTCCTCTTGTCCTCATTGCACCGAAATCAGATAAACCATTTTTAATTTATGTCAAAGCGACGAACCATTCAGTAAGTGCTTTACTTGCACAAGACGACGACAACAGTCATGAACAGACAATGTACTATCTGAGTCATACTTTGGTAGGGGCTGAATCTTGATATCCAATGATCGAGAAGGAGTGCCTCACTTTGGTATTCACAATCTTGAAAATGCAACATTACCTGGTTGGACAGACGATCTACGCCATTTCCAATGTCAACCCAGTCCGGGTGTTCATGACTCAACCGGCTTTAATGAATTGGAGGTTAGCAAGATGGCCTCTACTCCTATCCTAGTATGACATGCACTTTAAGCAACAGAAGTCGGTGAAAGGACAAACAATTTGTGATCTTCTAGCGGCTAGCCCTGTGAAGGATACAACCGAATTGTATGAAGATTTGTCGAATGAAACCATGAAGTCAATACTACTTCGTATCAATAAGTGTGACAACTGTACTTCGACAGTGCTTCCTAAGCAAACAATGTGGTGAGCACTCTCGGATGTTCGAA